AAAGAGTGGGGAATAGGAGAGAAACTAGGACATTTGTTTACCTATTTGCAGACACTGGGAATCAAGCCTAGGGCTTCATACAAGCCAGGTCTACTACTTAGCGGCACTCTACCCACTAAAAATAGGACTTTGAAGATTAAGTCTAGGAGAAGCAATGTCTGAGTAAAGTATTACAAAGAAGGAACAGGAGAAAGGGAGAGGAGGTCACCATCAGCCTCCAGGTCACCTGTGCTGGATAAATGCATTAGCCTGCAGCTGGCTGAGCAGAAAAAAGGTTTGGGAAGAAAAAAGATGCTCCCGTCCAAGCAGACGCAGCTTCAAGTTAAGGCACATGTTCAGTGAGTGGAATCTAGGTTAGATATTTAGCTGCCATTTGCCCTCTCAGTAGGACATCTTTGTGCGTCACACAACTTGCACAGCTATAATAGCAACCTTGATGCTATGTAGGTACCTAGGGGGTGAGAACCTGGATTTCACAACTGAAAAGACCCAGCAAGAACCCAGACCAGTGGTGGAAGCCAGCCATGTCAAGGCATATCGTCACAAAATCTCACAGCTCTGGAGATAAGTGAATGATTCTATAGCTTCTGAGGAGAAGCCAAACAAAGGTAACATCTGCAAAATCAGAAAGAAGGAAGGCTTCCAACATCTTAGTAGCAACCTTGGAAGTCAAAAGGCCATAGAGACGCTCCCACAAAAGTTAAGCAGAGAGCTGCTGTGGACCTAACAGCTTCATCCCTAAGGTCTGTGCCCAGGAGAACAGAATACACATCTCCATAAACAAACAACAAACAAACAAACAAAAATCCATCACCACCACCAACAAAACTACTGAAAAACAAAACATTCCTGGCAACACAATCCCAAGAGTCAAAACCAAAAATCCCAGAGGCCCATGAACCAATAAATGGATAAATGAGCTATAGCATATTGATGTATAGATAGTTCAGGAATAAACAACTAACATTCACTAAAAAGTAGATGAACCCTGCAAACACTAGGATGAGTGAATGAGACGCCACCGATGGCGTAATCCAATTTATACCAAAAGTCCGGACGGGTAAATCCAATCAGACAGAAAGCAGATGTGCGGCTGCTGAAGAACAGACTGAGAAAAGAAAGGGAGCACATGCTGATAGGCTACAGCTTACTTTTGAAAACGTCATAAAATTAGATAGTGCCGATGACTGGTGTATTATCCAAGCCAAGTAGTTCAGAATGCAGAAGTGTCTGTGCCGTGATTTATGTTTTTCTTGCTTTCTTTCGAGACAGGATTTCACATACTCCAGGCTGGCTTGAACTTGTTATGTACCCAAGGATGCCCTCGGCTTAAGACCTCTCTGCCTCTACCTCCCAAGTGCTGGCATTGAAGGTCTGGGCCACCATGCCTCCTTTTCTGTGGGATTGGGGATTGATCCCACAGTTTTGCATATATGTGACAAGGACTCTAACAAAGTGACCTACAACTCAAGCTTGGTACCTCATTAAAGAAAAAGACAATGAATGGGTCAATGTGTCTCTGATTAAAGAGTTTCCCCCAATCTAGTCACCTTTTATTTTAGAGAGAGAGGACGGAAAACAGAACCTCCCGATCTCCAACTCCTAAATGTCTTCAAAATTATCTTCCTCAGCAAAGTTCAAATCAAGAGGGTTAAGTGAAAACATTTTTCAGACATAAAATACCTGGAAAACACTCTTTCTCAGAAAACCACTACTAGAGGAGGGCTCAGAGGTCAAAAACTTGCTTAGCTAAGTGTGGGACTCTTAGCCCTAGACCCAGCACTTAAGAAAATAAAGAAAGGAAGGAAGGGAGGAAAGAAGAAGAAAGAGACAAGAGAAAAGAAACTGCTATTGGGTACATACAGCCAGTGAGCGACTTGGAAGCACTCAGTCCTGAACGGGACGTTGTCATCCCCTTAAGGCTTAAGGTCTGCATGGAGGAGGAGGCAGACTGTAACAGCCAGAGGTGGGGGAGGACTCCAAGGAACAATGTCTTCCAGACCTGACAAGGCGGCTACACATATGAACTCACAGAGACTGTGACACGTTCAAGCTAGACAAAATCCCAGCACAGAGAAGGGGAAGTGGACACAAAGTCCCATCCCTAACCAAGAAGCTATTTGCAGATGGTACCTGCTGGGAAAGGATACTCAGTTTTCTCAAATGGGGTGTCTTATCAAGCACACTCTAGACCCCATGCTTCTCCCAGCAGGTCCAATCCCAGGGAGAACCTGCAGATATCTCTGGTGCCATCTCATACTGATCAGGCTTCCTGAATAAGAGCTTCTCTTAAAGCTGCAGGAAGGTCACACAAACTTTGAGCTATAATAGATTACCCTGCCACAAGGGTCCTCTCCTGACACAAACAGAAAGATGTGCCCAAAGAATGCTTTCCCTTCTGTCAAGCATGGAGCTTAGAAGTTCTTGATATAACTTCATCCAAATGAGAGAGGATTGATATATCCCAGGTGACCTATGAGCTTTGTTGGTTGCTTCAGAGACTGATAACACTAAAGGGTTGCTAGCTTCAAAAGGAAAACCTGCTAATTGTTGGTTTCTGGCCGCATCCCGGTTTGTCACCTGCAGTTCTTATTTCTGCCACCTGGGGACACTATCAGAAAGCAGAACGCAGTATTTTCCGTGGTCAAGATTGCTGAAGGAAAGGCTAGAGTTCAAAGACTGGCCGAGTGGTGGAAATTTACACGTGTTCAGAGCAGAGCGTGCAACACCAGGCAGCCCTAACAGGCAAATTTGAGGCAGAGTCTAAAGAGATTCCTTTGAGGCATTGTGCCTTGCCACAGAGCCTTTAGCCTCTCCCTGGGTTGGGGGATGGGCTTATTAAGGGCACACACCTGCAGGGTGTAGAATGGCAAGGCCTGTGCCTTTTGCTTATTTTTTATGTCAGAGGGACTGGATTGAAGATCGGTGGGTGCCTATGTCCTTGTCCAAGAAGGGGGACATCATTCAGGACACAAGGAATCCTGGCAGGAAGCTCTAGGTGGAGGGGCTGGCAAGTTGGTGGGGTCAACGAAGAACAAGGTTACAGGGAGAACACCAATTAGACAAACTGGTCTGCTGGAGTTCATGGTGGTTGTTAGTTCTCTCCCAAAGGAAGAACCAGAGACTGGAGGTGGGGATAGGGCCAGGGAGACTGAGCTTGGAGCTAGGCATCCTGGGGACAGATACAGGCTTTTCTGGACTCCAAAGTCCTCAAATATACAGTAAGCATATAAAAGTATAGACTGGACAGGTCTAGCCACTTTGAAGACCCAAGGCAGGAGGATCACAAGTTCAAGGCCTGCCTAAACAATTTAGTGAGACTCTGTCTCAAAATAAAAAGTAAACAGAGCATAGGAGCTCTAGCTTGGTGGGAGAGTGCTTGCCTTGTAAGTATTCAGTCACACACACACACACACACACACACACACACACACACACACACAGACATACAGAGACATACACGCATACACACACACACACACAGACATAGACACACACACAGACATCCACACATACAGACATCCACACACACAGACATACACACACACACATGCATACACGAATGCATGCACACACACACATCCAGTTGTTTTTACTGCCGATGTTATTGATTCCCTTGAACAGAACCTTACAAGTCAGACCTGTGGTGCCGATGAATGCAGAGGCTCCCGTGAATGAGCTGAGTCAGGAGCTGTTGCTCATACAGAATTCCAAGTAGAAATTTGAACCAGATTCACGTTACTCATGGTGCACATTCATTCTCTCTGAGTCTCATGTCCCCTTAGGCTCCTGGGAGCACCTCACGGCACCTGGGAGCACCTCACTTTCCTAGCAGCTTCTCTATGACACTACCACACCACAAGCTCGGTGCTCTGCCACCCCTGTGTCTGCAGCCTGAGGAGCAAGGCTTCCATCCCTGCCATTGCTTTTGTGTTTCCTGTGTCCCTGGGGTCTCTCAGTTCTGATCTTCTCAACCTAAAATATGTACCACAGAAGCCCAGAAAGCCTCTGACTTGGTGGAGTCTCCAGAGAGAGTAGGGGAGGGAAGGAGTCTGGATTTGTCCTCAGGATGCTTAGCTCCAGGCTCGGTCTCCCCAACTGCACCCCAATCTCCAATGCTTCCTTCGGAGAGAATTAACAGAACTGGTTCACTGTTAGTGTTGGGGGGGAGCCTTGTGGGGGGGGTTGTGGGAGGGGGCTGTGGGAGGGTTGTTTGTTTTGTTTTGGAGGCTGAGTCTCATATGCAGTGCTGGCTGGCTGGCCACTGGCCTTCGCCTTGCTGATCCTCCTGATCCTGCCTTTCACATCAGGTCAGTGATTAGTTTTTTTTTTTTTCCTAAATTGCAAAGTGGAACAAGCATTTTTTACTTAGTTCACTTGCATGCCTGGCCTGAGGCATCTGGTGGAGGAATCCACACCAGGGCAGGACTTCCCCTGTTGTATGTGTATTTGCTTTTAGGTGTGGCTGATTCTCTGGGAGGTTCCTTGTTACCTCCAACCCAAGAGCCTCCTGTCTCTGCACTCTTGCCGATTCTCCTCTGAAGGAGGCCACACTACCAGCCTTTATACACTAATGATCTTTAAAAAATTCTTATTCTTTATTGGAGCTAAACATTTTTGTTCAGTGTTCGGTTGTCACTGTAGCTCCTATCTGTTTGCTTTGAGATGAAGGTCTTGCAATGTCACCCTGGCTGGCCCTGAACTTCTGGACTGAAGTGATCCTCCTGACTCAGCTTCCTTAGTGGTGAGAGCTATTAAAAAGCTCTGAGTGAGTACAAGCAGTCAGTGAACGAAGACAGGTACACTTGTGGATTCTTACGTGTGGCACAGACACTTTGGGGAAGAGAGCAAATTGTAGATTGTATCTTTCCTTTTAGAAACTCATGAACATTTTTACCTTCATGTAAACTCACTTCAAGAACCATTTTGTTTTTTACTATAATGGAAATCTCCCACATATAGCTTTTAGTATATACTTAAATTATTAGCTAGAACCTTACCTTGGATATATCTTGTAATAAGCTGTACATTAACTTCCACATTGCTAGCAGTTGGATCAAGCACACAAATCTCCTCCACTAAGTACTTGTTAATGTGCTGTGAACAAAGAACAAATGAAAAGCTATGTGATCATGCAGTGGAAGTGCAGTGCCCAACTCACCAGCATACACAATCCCACACAGGGATATTCTCCATAGGCAAATCTCTGGTGTCAGATGTCAAGATCACGGTCAGCTTTGGGGTATATGGTTTGGGGCATGTAAGGGTCGTGAGAAGGAATGCAAAAGATGGGCTTTTAAGATGTCAGTGTTCGTGCACACTTGGGAGCTCAGGCATGGGCTATGAGGATGTTCCAGCTAGGTGCAGATTCTTGCATCTGCACACTTGTGAGCTCCACCATTATAATTTGCACACTAGAAATCACCCCCAAACTCACAAATTTCCATCTTTCCCACTCTTCCAAGTCACTGAAAGATTCTTTGTCCTTCTGAGAGAACAAGATAACTGCTTTCAGGATGTTGTGTACAAGTGCCACGTTGGCCTCTACCTCCTGGGGACTGATGTTTTGAAAAACCGAGTCGACGTGATGTTTGTGTTCATAGAGCAGCAGTGACACAAAGTCCATGGAATCCAGGAGTTGGAGGCATTCCCGAAGCTCTTGCAGCATGGTTCGGAAGAAAAGAATCCCTGCCCGCTTCACCTCTCCTGCCTTTTCCATCTCTGGAATGACACATATTCTAGTCACAGACATTACTCCTACATAGCATTCTGAGGATGTTATAATAAACCATTTTTCAGGCAAAAGAAAACCATGTCCCATGATCTTAAGCAATTTTAGTTTCTCTGATCATGAAAAAAAAAGCAAAATAGAATTTATACCATTTTAGGGATAAAAACTGAAACAAACAAACTAATATATACAATATGTATACATGTATATATTCCAATACACACACACACACACACACACACACACACACACACACACACACACA